ACTCTTTCTTTCTCTTCTCGGCAGAAGAATTGGAAGAAGAGGCCCTGTTTCAGCCATGGAGCAGGGGAAGGGGAGTGGTGAGGTGGGCCCCTTCACTTGAGCAAATTTCTTCCCACTTTCCAGCGGAGCTCTTTTCCCGTATACGAAAGCCTCGAAAACCAATTAGTTCACGGACTGCCTCCTCAACTCAACCCGGGTGAAACGCACAGGAAATCAAAAAAACGAATTGCAAAAGAATCAACAACCCTATTCCTGAAGTGAACGCCGCCAAAGGGAAGTCTTAGTAAACAAAAAATACGCTCGTCTTGCTCCAACCTTCAGGCTTTTTCTTTTTGACGATAGCCACATCACAGCTCAACGGCGTGGATCGAGTGTACCAAGGCTTCTGGCGCGATTTGTCAACGAGTCGACCACTCGAAGTCGCCAATCCAATCGGGCAATAGGAACGAACCCTTAGGAGCCCTATCGGTCCGACCAACACTTTGACTGCTGGAGACAGCACCGCAGTTCACGATGCCGAGGTAGCACCGAGGAACGGTCCACGCGCAGAGAGAAGCGACTATGAAGAGGGTAGCGAAGGGTAGGCCATCAAGCAACGGGTGCCGTATGCGAATAAAATAACCGGTCCATTTTCGAGTTTCCGATCATTTTCTTTTCACTCTTGTTTTTTGGCGGATACCGGAACGGCAATTGGTCTCGACTACTTACATACGAGATTTCTGGTTCAGGCGAGAGTCCCCGCTGAGCAGACACCACTACTAAGATCCCTGCCTGGCTTCCCGCTACTAGGAACAGAGCAGGATACGCCATTGCTTCATCAGTCTGAGACTATCGAACTGGACCCTGACTCTTCTATAACCATTACATTACGGGAGAAATCCACTTTCGTCATGATCGATCCACGTCCTACCATAGTGCCCGGGGAACCAGGCTTGCTTAGGCTTAATAAAGCTAAGCGCGAAGGAATTTCTCTAAGATTTGCACGAGCTAGCCAGACGGCCTAGCTTGCTTGCTAGAAGAATCATATAGTGATCCACTGGAATCGGCCTGGGTGACGCCTCCCTGCTGGGAGAAAGATTTAATCCTTGGTCGTTAAGGTTGGGGGTGAAAACTGCAAACTAATGCTTCTATCTCGTCGTCGAATACGGGATACTCACTTTTCAATGGTAAGGATCAAGCCTCGCATCCCCAGAGCCATATGAAAACTAGCCTGCCTTCCAATCGCGGGGTTATAACGGGTCCGGTATCCGCAACACCAGCCAATCGTGTTGGTACGGGTGGCGTTCCCCATACCCACTATTCGGAAAAACAGCTTGCCATAGCTGCTCAAACCTCCGATCGGTAAAGGGAGTTCTAACCGGCTCTAGCCCCCAATTCCGAACAAAAGCTTTGATTGGACCGAGTTCGTGCCAGGGAGGTAATAGGAACTAATAACAATGGTTCGAGGTTGAGCTCACCGGCCGCCTACGTCAGTAGTCTTCCTACTTCTATTCCCTTTTTTTGCCCTAAGGTAAGGCCCGAGGTCCTTCAAGAACAGCATTGCGGTCGCAACCGGGCTCTGGGTGAATATTGTCCGCCCGTGTGGAGCCGGGCTGTGAATATTTCTACGTCGGGGTCTTTACTGAAAAACCACAATACAAGACTTCAAACAATTTGAAGAAATCCGCCTTAGACTATAAGTTTGAATTCACTAGTCGTGTTGAGTTTAGGCTTATTAAATTCAAAAAATCGCCAATCCCGATTATTACCGCAGTTTCATCCTGGTTCCAGTGTCCATTCCTGAATGAAAGAAATGAGCTTTTTTCTGCGCCCTTCACTCACCTCTGAATGACTCCTTTAGGGTTAATGGAAAAGCTCGAATCGAAACTATCACGACGAAACTTTTTCTTTTAAGGCAACTCGAATGAAAACGAAACTCTGCCTTAATCAAGGTGTCAAAATTTTGGGGAGTAGAAAGGGAGAGTAGTTGCGGGAATCATTTTGAACGGCCATCAAACTTGCGGTTGCACGGAATTAATGGTTCGGCCTTTGGGCCAAAGCCACTTCCAGCAGTGGGTCCCCGATGAATGAATCAGGTTGATCGTGACTAGGAATTTCGAAAAAAAATAGAAAGAGTCAGAAGCGGGAATAAGAAACCCACTTTCTTTCAGAACCTTGATTGAAAGAACCTAATTTCGGAGACGAGGACAAAAAGTGAATCGAACATACCTATTTCTTTCAAGCCTTATTGAGAAAGCGAACTGGAATTCTTCTTCTCGTACCTTTGTTTTTGTTAACTACGCCGCCTATTTAAATGAAGTTTGTTTCGACCGATCGATTGAATTAGTTACGAATTGACAGAGACTAAGCGTCAAAGGGTTTATGGGTAGCCGTACATAAACCAGAGGCAAAGCATCCTTCTTTGTGCAGTTCAAGCTTTCACGGCTTCGGAATATTGTAATAGAAATCTGAGTTTTCAAGCGGTTTTCTTTCTCCACCAACAACCAACACGCATGAAAGCGCGTTCAAGCGTTGCTGGGCAGAAAGACATTCTGGCATGACAACTCTATTTACTGGTACGCTGATTGCCTTCGCCCACTTCAAAACGCTCAAAACGTACCATTTTCCGTTTGAAATGCTAGGGATTGGTTACTTAGGCCCCGATATCCGCCAAGCAAAAGCAATCTACGCACGTTTCCCGGTTCAGTAGTAGGGAAAAGAAAAGGACCTCTCACTCCAATTCAATAAACTTGTTCTAGGGCATACTTTTTGAAAAGAAAAAGAAGCTTCCCAATTTTCCGTTATATTATAATGGCACCCCGGAAAAGGCACATGTTTCGCATTATTGACCAGGCTTTTTGGACGTTCCATGATGAAAACCTTCTAGCGGCCCACTTTCGAGATGCCACTTTGTTATATAAACCAATTATTTTCAAGTCATTGACTCGGGGCGCAGGCACCCTCCAACAGAAAGCTCGTCTTTTTTTGGTCGTCGCAGAAGTCTCTCCCTCAGCGCCCTACTATTCATAAAAGAACTGATTTTATGAAAAGCCCGCGTTGAGGCCCTCAACCTTTGCTTTTTCCTCAACCAAGACTGGGGGGAGATCAACTCATAACGAAACCCGGTCTTATCGACTGCCCGTCAGTTTCCCACCCTTCTCTGAATAAGCATGTTGAACAAGAAGCTAAGGGAACTCGATTGATCTGCCATATCAAATTCAATTCCAAGCAGCTGTTGAAAATCGACGGTGTGTTTCACACAGTAGAATGATGCAGGACTGACCCCCACTGCTCGTTTATGGAAATAGAAGGCCGGAAGCAACCTTGCCTCCTATGGCTAGAAAGCCGAACAAATCTTATTTTCATTTGCCGCTGAGGAAACAGACTAGGCTTGTGATGGTCCTGGCTATTGACTCCTTAGTTGTCCCACCTCATGCTGCCCTAATAGCTCAACCTATAAAAATTTCAACGAGCAGAGAGCCGTTTTGACGCAAAGCCCTTCCTCTTCTGTGTCACAAGAAGGGACTAGGTTCTAGCCAAGCAGGAATTCACGACTCTATTGTAAAAAAATAATATCCCACTACGGGGCTAAGAAGCAACGAAGGAGTGCCACTTAGTTAAATTCTTTTTTAGTCTCAATCAGCCTCGAAGCCGAATCGCTTTTCTTTTAATCTATTCGTGTTATTTAAATCCATACCTATAAAGTCATCCCCATTATTACTAATCTCATTCTAATATATATGAAATTATAATAAAATAAGACAAACGGGATCAATTAAATAGATTTTTAAATAATTAACAAGCACTCTCTCAATCGCACTAAAGCACTCACATCGTTGGCAGTCGAACGACCAGTACTTGAACCAGCAAGCGAAGACTGTCAACTTTCACCGATGATGACATTTGGCGCCAAAGCCCTTCCACAACCGTTCGTTGTATGTTGAGCAGAAGATGAATGGGGGGCGCGTCGATGAAGAGAGTGATGGTTGATCCTGGCTCCGCAGTCAATCTCATACCAATGTCCACTGTTGAAGCGCTAGGCATTTCCTAATGAAAAAGAATTGAGGAGCACCTATCGAGGTATATGATTTTTGTTCGAATTGTCAAATTACCGTTTAGGCATGGGTCAGAGTCAATTGCAACGTTGGACCTTTCAAGATCCGATAGAGTTCCAGGTTGTGGATGCACCGACGACATAAAACGCTCTTCTGGCAGACACCATGGGATTCATATACCAGAGGTCCCATCGACATACCATCAATGTAATTAAACGTAGAATCCAAGGAAAAGAGTACGAGTTACCTGCGGTGATGCACTCCCTTCGAGAGATTGAAATCCTTTTGCTGACCCTATCCATTATCGGAGTTTGCCGCACCGAGGAGAGCTTTCATTGGAAACGAGGTAAACGAGGGCTCATATCGACTCGTGGAGGACTTAATAAATGAAGATCAGAAAGTCCAGCGAGAGGTAAAAAAACCTGATGAAGCGAGAGATAAGCAGAGCTAGCGAGGAGGGCTCAAGAAAACTTTAAGCTGATGGTGAAGAGCAGTGCATCAAAGTCACGCTGCAATGGTAATACTCTACATTATAGCAATAACAGAACGAAGGCCCTCTGGTGAGGAGAACGAGACGAAAGCGACAGGCGATAAAGCCCAAAGAAAGGGAGACATAAGCCAAAAAAGAAGAATAGGAAAAAGAGGGCCATTAGTGAAGTATGACCTCGTTGAAGAAAGAACAAAATAAGTCCAAGAAGCCAAATCCGCGCCAAGCTATTTTCAAGACGGCGTCAAAGCAGTGAAGAAAAAGTTTGGAGCAAATCAACCTTTTTTAGTTGTTTGGCGAAGAAGAAACAACTTTCAATTTGTATCAGCTAGCCTTGGCATCACTGAAAAAGAAAGCATGTAAATTAGTTCTAGAATACAAGATGTGTTTGCTTGGACTTACGAGAGATGCCAGTTTAAAGTACTGATCTAGTATGTCATTCTTGCATATAACTCCTCACACAAAGCTGTCAAACACCAGTTTACTATCGGAAGACGAATGAGATCAGAAAGGCCATCATTAGAGCAAACAATGCAATAGCTTCGGTTAGAGCAAAGCCCAAAATGGCATAACCAAATAATTGTTTAGCCAATGAGGGATTTCGCGCCACGGAATGAATCGAGGAACTGAAGACGTTTCCAATACCGACAGCTGCTCCCGCTGAAGCAATTGTAGCTGCTCCGGCACCTATTGATTTAGCACCTTCTAACATCAATATTCGCAAATTTTCGCCTCACGCTTTTCCTTCGCTGCTCTTTCTTGGATTCTTCGTCGATTCCTCTTCCCCACGTTCCTTTTTTCTCGGGCATCTCGAGAGGTTGGTGCCAACAAGGCAAATCTTATTCACCGTGAGATGGAGAAGCCAATCCCGCATAATCAAGAAGGATGCCGTCATCCCGAATGAAGAACAATACCCCACCATAGGAGAAGAAGAACGGGCTATTCAGCTAATAAGTGGGCGGTAAAGTATATTAAATTTATATTGAGAAAAATCAAAAAAAAGGTAAAGCAAAGCAGTCATGAATCAGGCTAACTTCCATCGAGCAAGTAGAGAAATGAACGAATATAAGAAGTCTTCGCGAAAGACGTTCATATCATTCTGACAAGCCAGCTTCTTTTTCCCTAAAAAAGCAGTTCTCCCTCTGCTCCTACCTTATTACGTAGTTCCCTTGTATTCTATTGCCTTGGGAGCCACGAGTCGAAGGTCTTTTCTAATCCGTTGAAAAGCTAAGACTTGATAGATGACTCACGAGCTGGCTTTTGTACGAGTCAATAAGAGTCAGACTCAGTGCTAGAGTAAGTGATTCAAGTAAAAAAGTGTAACAGTCAGGCAAGTCAGATAGGAATCAAGTAGGTAAGTCAGATTCGGTTTAGTAGGTTTAGTAAGAAAAGTCAGTAGCTAATTCATGTCTTCCTCTTCTGCTTTAGGACTTATCCCTAAGGCGCTCGCTACGCCTCCACCATCAAACCTCATAAAAAGTTGAACAGGCATTTCAAAATCTCTCTCTTCAAGGAATAGAATACAAGGGAACTACGTAATAAGGTAGGAGCAGGGGAAGAACTGCTTTTTTAGGGAAAAAGAAGCTGGCTTGTCAGAATGTATTGAACGTCTTTCGCGAGGACTTCTTTCATTCGTTCATTTCTCTACTTGCTCGATGGAAGTTAGCCTGATTCATGACTGCTTTGCTTTACCTTTTTTTTTGATTTTCTCTTAAATTTATATACTTTACCGCCCACTTATTAGCTGGATTAGCCCGTTCTTCTTCTCCCTATGGTGGGTATTGTCTTCATTCGGTGACGGCATCCTTTCTTGATTATGCGGGATTGGCTTCTCCATCTCCGGTGGAATAAGATTTCCTTGTTGGCATATTCTTCTTTTCATCTTTCTAGCGTACGGTGAGAGCGTTCCCGTGTGAGGCGCTAGTGGAAGTTGGTTTTGGAGATCGTAGAGATTGTTCTTTCTTTCGGCCGGATAAGCGAGAACTGATATACAGCAAGAGGGCAAGGCAGGAAATCCCGTCTTTGCCTCCCAACAAAAGACGTCGAATGAAATATTTGCACAGCAGGTCCCTTTTCCGGTTGTGGCGGACAGGCCTGATGGATTCCCTTTTGGACTCTCTTTTTAGTCCCAGTTGTAGCCTTCGTGACTTAATCTAGATACCGGTGGTTGGGAAGCGTTCATTCAAATTAGTAGCTTGTTGAGAAGCAAGTCACAATCCGGGTAACGAATCTTTTTCAGAAGGACTGAAACAGGGCAACCGAATGAAAAGGGGCTGAGCTGAGGTGGAGGAGCCGCAGACCATAGGGTATAGTTAGATGAACGAGAGGGGATAGCAGACTAGTAAACATCGAGGACCAGAGAGGAGAGCATAGTGACGAGAGACCTCTTCCTCCCCGTTCCAGTAAAGCAAGCTGTGGTCTAATCCAACCTATCCGTTCCAGTACTTTTTGTTTGTCGAGTAGGCTTAGGCTACAGTCCAATACCTATGAAAGAAAGAGCTAAAGTTCCCATTGGAAGCACTTATGGGAGATGAAACGAAAAGAAGCTTTACCATGCCATGGCATAATTCCCACTGGTTTACGAACAACTGAATCGGACCGTTCGATTCAAATAAAAAGTAGGTAGACGATAAGCCGCTAGTGAAGAAATGTGAACTCCTCCTTTGGCCAAGCAAAACAAAGAATCATTCTCTATTTGACTTCGCTTGAGCTGCCGTCATTCGATCAGTCCTCTTTGGGAGATCCGCCTTCATAAGCTTTCTCCATTGGCTGTCAAACAAAACTGATAGAGAATAAAGGTTGACCGGGGAGTCTTCATAGCTTGAACGTACAAAACTTGAATTTCTTTCATTGTAAACATAAGTTAAGTCAAGACAGCTCAGGGGGTCAGGGAGTCAAATGGTATACCAATCTAGTGTTTTGCCGTGGCATTGCGGAGGTCGAAGGGTAAGACCATCTATTTTGATGACTGCCTTTGGCCCATAAGCATAAGCCGGGACTGGAAAAAGAAAAGGCTATCAGTCCTTGCCTTCTGGGTTTGAATTCATCTCATCGATGACTGGAATCGCTCCTATCAAAAAGAGTTCCTATAGCTGGACAACTCCCCGAAAAGTGAAAGCTGATTAAGCAAAAATCCCATCCATGAAATTTCTAATAAAGCAACGCCATTGTTCGGGGGCGGGATGTCCTGCCCAGCGAGTGTCGTGACACTCCTTCAACAAGTCCCTACGTATGTTATCCCACCTTGGGACGAAAACATTCCCTTGGTGTAGAGCAGACGCATCCTTTTCCCAAAAGCGACGAGTCCCCTCCTTGACAGCTTGTAGTAGGCTCCGTAGCTACTGCGTTATATTGTAGACCCTCCTTGATCCTATAAGAAAGGGTGCTCCTAAACTGGCTCACAGCAGTTATCTCCTGTAGCTTCAAGCTCACAAGCTCTGCTTTCCGACTTAACGCATCAGCCAGACGATTTGTGCGTCCCGGCTTATACTCTATACACATATCGAACTCAGCCAAGAAGTCTTGCCACCTTGCATTGCTTCGGGCTGAGCTTCTTCTGTGTTTGGAAATAGTGTGTGGCTATCTTATCCGTTCGGACAACGAATTTTGACCCGAGGCAGATAGTGTCTCCAAGTGCGTAGACAGTGCACTATGGCGGTCATCCCCTTTTCTTGTACTGTGTATTTCCGCTCGGTGTCATTGGCTTACGGCTCTCATAGGCGATTGGGGCCCTCTTGCATAAGAACTCCACCGATGCATAGTCCGAAGCATCGGTATGTACCTCGAACGGCTTAGCGTGATCCGGCAAGGCCAGCACGCGATCAGCCATGATGGCTCCCTTTAAGTCCTCAAGGGCTCTTGAGATTCTCTCGTCCAATGCCATGGTTGGTTCTTCTTAAGGAGATTAGTCAAAGGTGCAGCCCGACCCGAAAAGCCTTGATGAACACTACGATAGTAGTTTACCAGGCCAAGAAAAAGATCTTAACTCATATACCTTTGATGGGGGACCCATTCCTCTATGGCCTTCACCTCTCATTGTCCATGCAAATGGTCCCTCCCTTGATCCGATGTACAAGGAACAAACTGATTGTTGAGCAAAGAGCACTTCTCCTTCTTGACATAAAGCTGGTTGTCGCGTAATATCTGGAAGACAGCTCGTAAGTGCTCCACGTGCTCTTCAAGCGTCCCACTATAGACCACAATGTCATCAAGATATACCACCACAAACCAGTCCAGGTAGGGGTGGAACAACCGGTTCATCAGGGTGCAAAACGTTGCTGCTGGCAGCCAAAAGGCATCACCAGAAACTCGAAGGCACCATATCGGGTGACACAAGTAGTCTTTGCCTCGTCGCCCTCAGCGATTCGGACTGATAGTAGCCTGACCGAAGATCTAACTTCGAAAAGTACCGTGCTCTTCCTAGCTGATCGAACAGATCCGCAATGAGAGGGATGTGGGTACTTGTTATTGATCCTTACCGTTGTTGAGGGCTCTATCGTCGATGCAAAGTCGAAGACTCCCATCGTGCTTCTTTTGAAACAGCACTGGTGCACCATATGGGGCCTTTGATGGCTCGGCATCTAGCAACTCCCTCAATTGCCTCCTCAGTTCTTCTAGCTCCGGTGGGGCCATCCTGTAAGGTGCCATTGCCGGTGCTTAGCCCAGGTTCCAGCTCAATGCGATGATCACCTCTCTCCTAGGTGGAAGTCTCCTCGTCCGGTGGCATAACATCTTTGAACTCGTCAAGACTTCTGCTATTACAGTACAGTCGGTAGCTCCTCACTTGACCCATTTTCTTCATCCCCAACTAGCGCAGCCACAAAGGTTTCTTCGTCCTTCTTGACTCCCTTGACAAGCTGCAAGGCGGATAAAGTGGGCACACTCGTTTTCACATTCACACTTGGGATCATGCCTGGTCTTCCTTCATCCATGATGCCTAAGGTGCCCAAGTATGGCATAGGGACGTCGGTTGGTTCCAAGAACTCTATCCCTAGCCGCTTGACGCGGGCTAGCGGCGCCACAGTGAAATTAGTCGTCCTTTCCATCCTCCTATTTGTAGCTCCACGCCCTTTGCAATGCCATGGATTGGTTTCGCGGCAGAGTTAACGGCCTTGATGCGGCTGGTGTCCCTTTCCGTCTTCAGCCCCCATTGGCTTTCTCCTCGGATATGAAGTTGTGGGTTGCTCCTGTATCAACTAGGGCCCTAGCCTGCTGGCCGTTTATGTTCATATCCACGTACATTAGACCCTTAGTGGCCCGCTTGGGACTTGCAGGCTGCTTCTTCACAACGTTTAGTAGCCTAAGCGCACCCATCTTAGGCTCTTCAGGCTCCTTTTCACTAGCTCCTTCGCCTCTTCGGTCTTCAGAAGTGCATTGAGAGCCTTCCTCTTAGGCAGTCCATGGCCCGGTGCCCAACGCTCCGCAGATGAAGGCACCCTCGCACTCCTGGTGGTAGGTTGTTCCTTGCCTTTGCCATGGAACGACTTCCGTCAGTCCTTCTTTGAGTCACTCTTCTTCGAAGCCCCACCTTTGCAACGACTATAGTAACGAGTATACTCTAGTATCCATAATAAACTATACCGAATTTTTATCATAGTACCCATATTTCTTTGAGGAATCAAGGAATTGAACCCACATAAAGCCTGTTACCTGTTGCCGATCCGATTACCAATTCTAAGGATTAACCTGAAGAGAAGGAAGTTAGGACCGCGCTGAAAGAAGGACAGCGGGGAAAGTTCTCTAACCTGGGAGAAACCTATTTTGAATCCGTCTTTGAGGTACGGAAAGGGCCAGTCCTCCTATCGCGAACCTATCCACT